GAAGCAGACTCCCTACTGAGCAGGAAGCCTGATGCAGGGCTCGATCCCAGGACCCAGAGATCATGATCTGAGCTGAAGACAGACGCTTAACTGGCTGAACCACCCAGGTGCCCTACCCTCCCCCTTTCTATGAGGAATTGAGATGCTATAACTTTTGGAAACTCAGTTTTGGGGGGTTTTATTTGGATATGTTTTGGGGTCCATGCCATTTTTATCCCCTGGGGAAAACTTGATGACAAAGAAAGGAAAAAAGGAAGAAACCTGTCCTTTCCCACCTTCACCTGTAGCTTCTTGAAAATGGGCCTCTGTGGAACAAATGTGCCAGTTTTTATTAAAAAACAAAATAAAAAACTTGGAAACAATCAGAACGTCCCACAGTAAGCAAATGATTAAACAAACTGTGGTACATCCATACACTTGAATATTTTTCAGCAATAGAACAGAATGAACTATTGATATACACAACATGAATGAACCTCAAAGGCATTAAGCCGAGTGATAAGATCCAGTCTCAAAAGGTGACATACTGTATTATTTCATTTACAAGGCATTCTGCTGAAGGCAATGGTATAGGGATGAAGAATAGATCAATGGTTATCAGAGCTTGGAGTTTGACTATTTGCAATGAAGAACTCCAGTACAATGGAGTTTTCTATGTTAAGTGAGACGTTCTGTATTTACACACATTGACATATGTGCTGAAACTCATAAAACTGTGCACCAAATAAGAATCAATTTTACTCTGTAAACTTCTATTTTTTTTTAAAGTAATCTCTGCACCCAACATGGGGCTTGAACTCACAACCCTGAGATCAAGAGTCACATGCTCCTCCAACTGAGCCAGCCAGGAGCCCCTACTATTTAAATTTTTAGAATGAAATATATATACCTTTTGATCCAGCATTCCTACTGCTGGGATATGTCTCATAGGAATAAAAACTAAAATCAAAGATGATGCCTATCGTTAGAGGAAGGTTGAATATATTCTGGCACACCAATATGAAATATTATGAAGCCGTTAAAAAGAATGAATTAGAGGGGCACCTGGCTGGCTCAATCAGTTAAGTGTCTGTCTTCAGCTCAGGTCGTGATCTCGGGGTCCTGGGATTGAGCCCCATGTCGGGCTCCCCGCACCATGGGGAGCCTGCTTCTCCCTCTCCCTCTGCTTGCTGCTCCACCTGCTTGTGCTCTCTCTCTCTCTCTCTCAAATAAATAAATAAATAAAAACTTAAAGAATGAATTAGAGCTGTACCCAGCTACTTAAAGCAATGCCTATGAAATATTGTTGAGTAATATATTGCAGGTGCAGAAAAAGTGTATATAATATGATCTCATTTTTGTAAAATAAACAATGACCACAAAAGAGAAACCATAGATATGTATGCATATATGTCTATGTAGAGAATGATATGGTTTCAAGACAGGATGATATGTTCTAATTGTTCTGGATTGGGGTCTTTCCTCAGTATTTCTAATCATATCTCTAGCATTTTACTCCCACTTTGTTTCAAGAACAAAATTATGTAAATTATATCAAGAAATACTATGGCAATATGAGTCTTGAGAAGAGGGATTTGATGTTTTCTTTTTTCAAATCCAATCCATTTAGCCCATCTGCGGGGGATTTATGGTAATATCTTACTTTGTGTTTCCTATTTTTTCTGAATTTTTCTATTTCCCTTTGAGGAGGATTACCCTTTTTTTTTTAATGTTAAATTAGTCACCATACATTACATCATGTAGAGTTCCATGATTCATTGTTGGCGTAAAACACCCAGTGCTCCATGCAATATGTGCCCTCCTTAATACCCATCACTGGGGGGCGCCTGGGTGGCTCAGATGGTTAAGCGTCTGCCTTCGGCTCGGGTCATGATCCCGAGGTCCTGGGATTGAGCCCCATATCGGGCTTCTGGCTCAGCGAGGGGCCTGCTTCTCCCTCTGCCTCTCCGCCTGCTCGTGCTCTCGCTCTCTCTCTGTATGTCTGTGTCTCAAGTGAATGAATAAAATCTGAAAAAAAAAAAAAAAAACCATCACCAGGCTAACCCATCCCCCTGCCCCCCTCCCCTCTAAAACCCTCAGTTTGTTTCTCGGAGTCCATAGTCTCTCATGGTTCGTCTCCCCCTCCGATTTCCCCCCTTTCATTGTTCCCTTCCTACTATCTTTTTTTTTTTTTTTTTTAACATATACTGTATTTTTTGTTTCGGGGGCACAGTTCTGTGATTTATCAGTCTTAACACAATTCACAGCGCTGACCATAGCACATACCCTCCCCAATGTCCTATCCCCCAGCCCCCTCATCCCTCCCACCCCCCACCACTCCAGCAACCCTCAGTTTGTTTCCTGAGGTTGAAAGTCTCTTACGGTTTGTCTCCCTCTCTGGTTTCGTCTTGTTTCATTTTTCCCTCCCTTCCCCTATTGTCCTCTGTCTTGTTTCTCAAATTGAGGAGGGTTACTCTTGAAATATTGCCATTCACACAGTCTGTTGTTATTTGTTTTGTTTTGTGTCCAGAATTATTGAAATATAGTTGACACATAACATTGTGTAGGTTTAAGGTGTTGATTTGATACATTTATATATTGCAAAATGATTACTGCCATAGTGTTAGCTGACACTTCCACCATATCACATCATTACCATCTCTTTTTTTCTAGTGAGAACATTTCAGATCTCTCTTAGCAACTTTCAAGTATGTAATACAGTATTATTAACTATAATCACCATGCTGTACATTAGATCCCAAGAATTTATTTGTCTTCTCACTAGAAGTTTGTATCCTTTGACTAACATCTGCCCATTTCCCCCATCCTGCCATCCCTGGTAACCAGCCATTCAACTCTCTGGTTCTATGAGTTCAGCTTTTTTGGATTCCACATATAAGTGGAATCATACAGTATTTGGCTTTCTCTGTCTGACTTATTTCACTGATGATCACATTTCCCTGATGATTAATGTTGAGCACCTTTTCATGTACCTGTTGACCAATCGTATGTCTTCTTCGGAAAAAATTCTATTTAGTTCCTCTGCCCTTTTTAAAAATCAGATTTTGTTTTGTTATTGAGTTGTATGAGTTCTTTATATCAGATAAATGATTTGCAAATATTTTCTCCTTAGGTTGCCTTTTCATCGTGTTGATTGTTTCTTTTCCTGTGCAGAAGCTTTTTAGTTTTGATATAACCCCACTTGCTAATTTTTCCTTTGTTGCTTGTGCTTTTGGTGTCATATCCAAAAAAAATCATTGCCAAAACCAATGTCAAGGAGCTTTTTCCCTGTGTTTTCTAGGAGTTTTACAGTTTCAGGTCTTATGTTTAAGTCTTTAATCCATTTCAAGTTAATTTTTGTATGTGGTATAATATAAGGCTTCAATTTCATTCTTCTCCATGTGGTTATCCAGTTTTCCCAACACCATTTATTGAAGACACTACCCTTTCCTCACTGAGTATTCTTAACATTTTTTAAAGATTCTATTTATTTATTTGAGAGACAGAGAGCACAAGGTGGGGGCAGGAGAGGCAGAAGGAGAGGGAGAAGCAGACTCCCCACTGAGCAGGAAGCCCGGGATGATGACCTGAGCCAAAGGCAGATGCTTAACCCACTGAGCCACCCAGGTGCCCCCCTCATTGAATATTCTTGACTACATTGTCAAGTATTAGTTGACCATAGAGTTGAGGGTCCATTTCTGGGCTCTCTGTTCTGTTCCATTGATCTATGTGTCTGTTTTTATGCCAGTACCATATTGCTTTAATTACTATAGCTTTGTAGTATAGCTTGAAATCAGGAAATGTGATGCCTCCAGCTTTGTTCTTTCTCAAGACTGCTTTGGCTATTCAGGGTCTTCTGTGGTTCCGTATGAATAGTCATATTTTCCATCAGCATTTACCAATAGCTCATTCTCTTTTGCTACCTGTTTGAAATGCTGTCTTTATCATATATCAAATTCCCATTTATATCTGTGTCTCTTTCTAGATTCTATATTCTGATTGATATATTGATCTATACCTGCATATTACCACACATTTAATTATAATAGATTTATAGTATCTTGTAATGCTTTGTAAGGCAAGAAATTTTGATTCTCAGTTAGTTGCACTAAACTAGAGTCTGAGCATTGCTTACTTGATTTGTGGACCACCACCCTGCAGAATAGATATATGGAAGAGGCTTTCAGAAACAATTCCTTTTATAGACTGAAGTCAAAGTTACTTTTGTTTAGCTTTTTATTTAGAAATAACTTCAAACTTACAGAAATTCTGCAAGAATAGGATAGAGAACTCCCATATACCCTTTACCCAGATTCACTAATTTTTAATAATTTTCTATATTTGCTTTATCATTCTCTTTCTTCTCTATATACTCACTTTTATTACTTATTTTCTTTTTTAAAAAAGATTTTGTTTATTTATTTGACAGAGAGAGACACAGCGAGAGACGGAACACAAGCAGGGGGAGTGGGAGAGGGAGAAGCAGGCTTCCCGCCGAGCAGGGAGCCCGATGCGGGGCTCGATCCCAGGACCCTGGGATCATGACCTGAGCTGAAGGCTGACGCTTAACGACTGAGCCACCCAGGCGCCCCTTATTACTTATTTTCTAATTGAGAACAGGTTGCCCTTTTATCTCTTAGTACTTCATTGTGCATTTCCTATGAATACAGATAATTCTCTTATGTAACCAAAGTGGAATTATGAAATTCAGAAAATTTAACATTGATATAATACATTTATCTAATTGGCAGCCAATATTCCAATTGTATAAATCAATGCCATCTTTTGTAGCATTTCCTCCCTCCACTTCATGAAGGGTCAAGGTCTGTGATTCTTCTCACTTTGGGTTTGGGACCTAGCTGATCAAGTATTAATAATCTACTTTTTTTGGAAAGTATAATGCTATCTCTTCTTGGGAATAAGGTAATGGACATAACATATAATTATTTCTAATCATATGACAACCTCAAATAATAAATCTGGATACTGCTAAAACCTCTTGCTCCCCATTTCTTTTGCAGGCATCAATGGCTATGTTTTTGACAACTTGCAGCTGTCAGTTTGTTTGCATGAGGTGGCATACTGGTACATTCTAAGTGTTGGAGCACAAACTGACTTCCTGTCTGTCTTCTTCTCTGGATATACCTTCAAACACAAAATGGTCTATGAAGACACGCTTACCCTATTCCCATTCTCAGGAGAAACTGTCTTCATGTCAATGGAAAACCCAGGTTAGTTATTTATGTTATTCTTTTTTTAATATTTTATGTATTTATTTGAGAAAGAGAGAGAGAGTGGTGGGAAGGGGCAGACGGAGAGGGAGAGGGAGTCCTAAGCAGATTCTGCACTGAGCTTGGAGCCCAACGCAGGGCTCAATCTCACGACCCTGAGATCAGGGCCTGAGCTGAAACCAAGAGTTGGACACCCAACCAACTGAGCCACCCAGGCACCCCAGTTATTTATTTATTCTTTTACTAACAGCTGTGATCACTTCACTAGCCATGCATTTGCTCATATGTGGGCAAATACTAAATGGTTCAAGTGATCTTAATAATTGCAAGGCATTTTAATGACAACAATACATCAGGTATTTAACTTTAAAGTCTTTCCTCTAAAAAGTGCCTTTACTTACCATTGGCCAAAATTATAAGTGTGTTTATTAAACTACAGTGGTGAATATACATTTATACATGCAATTAACATGTGAAGCTAAATATGTTTCTGTGTGCTTTGTGAACTGTGTACTCTTATAAATACCCCCTAGAAGCCTTTGGGAGTGCATTGTAATCTCTCTTTGTACACATACCCTCAAACCACTGGGAACCCTTTAGGACGAATGTCGCTGGATGAATGTGGCTGGCAGTTTCTCATCTTCTCTCTCCATCCATAACCACTGCAACGCTTTTGAAAGCACCAGCCCTGTGATCAGGAGGAACACTGACCTGGCCTAAATCCAACACAGATTGTTGCTTCATTTATACAGTTTAGTAACAAGTGCTAGGCCACTCTGTGCTCCAGTCCCTCCCACCTCTATCATCTGCAGAGGAAAGCACATAAAACTACCTGCAGATTATAGTTATTCTCTTACATGGAAGGCTTTTCTGGAGATAAACTCTCATGGGAAAATTTGTGGGGAATAAAAGCCAATCTCATCATATATAAACATATGTTCACCTTTATACCCAGAAACTTTTCTTACGTCAAGTAATGTACTTTTGTGGGAAGTGAGTAAAGAAAAACCTGACAGAACTCCAATAATGTCTCTGAAAGTATCTTTTATATTTATGTTTACATCTTTGTTATCTGTTTTATACCTAATTTGCAAACTCTCTGAGAACAGAGACCTTGTTTATCTTATTCATCACTGTATCTCTAAAGTTTATAGTTCCTGGCCTATAATAAATGCTTAACAAATGTTTTTCCCATTAATGAATGAATCAAATATGTACAAAAAGAATATGAAACAATACGTATAATATGGTTGTAATTGTCTAAACCAAAGAGAGAAAGTGTCTGTATGTGTATGTGTGTGTGTATAAGCAGAGAAAAAATATTTTAGATATCAATATTTTGAGAAGCTTTTAAATTATTTTGGTGATCACTTAAATTCTAAAGACAAATTAAAACTCTGCTTTATGTCTTGAGGAAAAAATTTTAATAGAATATCACTAATTACAAAGCTCAAGCCAAAGCCCCTAGAGATTTCCTGTGTTCAACATGGTAAAGTCTGATCCCTTTTGTTTATTTTATTGAGGTAAAATTCACCATTTTAACCTTTTAAAAGTATACAATTCAGTGGCTTCCAGTACATTCACCATGTTGTGCAACTATTACTATTATCTAATTCCAAAATATTTTTATCACCCCAAAGAGACCCTTTACCATTAAGCAGTCACTCCCCATCCCCCCTTTCCTAACAAGCACTAATCTACTTTCTGTCTCTAGGAATTTGCCTCTTCTGAGTATTTCATATAAGTAGAATAGTACAATATTTGTCCTTTTCTGTCTGACTTCTTTCACTCAGTGTAATGTTTTCAAGATTCATCCATGTTGTAGTGGGTCTCAATACATCATTCTTTTTATCACTACACACTTCACTTTACACTCTGCTTTAACCACACATCACCATAAAAAATAAATGATAATTATATGATGTGATAGAGGTGCTAGCTAATGCTATGGTGGTAATCGTATTGTAATATATTAATGTATCAATCTGCTCTGAGGGATTTCTTTTCATGGGGAAAGGAAACAGGACGACTCTAGCAACTCTAATCACCACCTGAAGACCTCCACAGTCTTCACAGATACTGAAGCCAGCTCACAGAGCTGCTCAGAGTTTAAGCTACATCTTCTCCCCAAGGATATGATGCTGGCCCTGCTCCCTGGGGCCTAGGCCTCCATAGCACGTGCCATCCTCAGGGCCTGAGGCACCACCGCAGTACCCCATCATCCCTGGGGCCCATGCTGCTGTTGTACCCTGCCCCCAAGCACCAAGCCACCAGAGCACCCCACCCACCAGGGCCTAGGCAGTGGGGCATGCCCCAGAGACCTGGACCCCAGCTCCATGGATGATCTATGCATGCCTGAGCTTTGGCCACTGACACCAGCACAGCAGATGTGCCCATGCTCCAAGACCCTGGAGCATGGTAGTTTCATGCACGCCTGAGCCTAGAACCCTGACTCTGCTGCCACTCTGAGTGTCTGCACCCTGAAAACCAGCATTACCACTACTGCATGCACCCCTCTGCCCCAGAACCTAACACCGTCACCAAGGCCTGGACACTCACCTGCCAGACCCAGCACCAAGATGGATCCCCCTAGCTAGGACATTGCCCTGTGGGTGAAAAAGCCAGGCTCTAACAACTCTCAATGTCACTGCTACCAGACACAGCCTTGGCCACCAAGGGCCTCCCCCTCCATTCTTCACTGACATTAACCTCAGCTGACAGAGCTGCATAGAAATGATGCTACTGTGCCCTCCCTGTGCCCCACCTACAGGTGAAAGTCATTCCCAACCAGGTCAGTCCATACAGACTGGAAGAGGTGATTGCTCCCTCAAATGCAGGGCCACAAGAAACACACACAAGAAAAGCTGACACAGCCAGAGGAACACAGTAACTTTCCAATGACTGACCCCAAAGAAATGGAAATCTACAAATTGCCTGTAAAGAAACTCAAACTTACTATTTTAAGGAAGCTCAGCAAGATATAAGAGAACACAAACAGGCAATTCAATAAAATTAGGAAAATAGTACATTAACAAAATAAGAAGTTCAAAAAAGAGAAATCACTTTAAGAATTCTGGAGCTAAAAAGTACAATGAGTGAAATGGGGGGAAAATACATCAGACTTAATCAAACAGGAGAAAGAATCTGTGAACTCAATAACAAATCTTTTGAAATTATCCAGTCTGAGAAAAAAAAAAGGAATGAAGAAAGCCTACAGGACTTAAGGGATACCATTAAATTTTTCCCGAGAAGACATACAAATGGCTAATAGGTATATGAAAAGGTGTTCAAATCACTAATCATCAGTAAATGTAAATCAAAACCAAAATGAGATATCACCTCACATCTGTTAGGATGCCTATTATTAAAAAGACAAGAGATAGCAAATGCTGGTGAAGATGTGGAAAAAAGGGAACCTGCATGCCTTGTTGATGGAATGTAAACTGGTACAGCCACTCTTTAATTTGAGATTCCTCACAAATTAAAAATAGAATGATTCAGCAATCCCATTTCCGAGTATATAGCCAAAGGAAATGAAATCATGATTTCAAAGACATATCTGCACTCCTGTGTTTATTGCAGCATCATTCACAATAGCCAATATATGGAAGTAACCTAAGTGTCTATTGATGGATGAATGGATAAAGGAAACGTGATATATATAATGGAATATTATTCAGCCACAAAAAGAAACCACCATTTATGACAATATGGATGAACCTGGAAGGCATTATGCTAAGTGAAATAGCCAGACAAGGACAAATACTGTATGGAATCACTTATGTGGGAAATCTAAAAAAAAAGAAGAAGAAGAAAAAGTCAAACTCATGGAAACAGATAGTAGAATGGTGGTTATATCATGTTTTGTAACCTGCTTTGTTTCTTAATGATACATTCAATGTTTTTCTATATATACATCTAATAAATGTAGACAAGCATAATTATTTTTAAAAGATTGCTTAATATTCCATACTAGGGATATTGTACCAGCCTTGGATGACCAAAGAGCTCTTGTCTATTGGAGCCTGAGATGTGCTCCTACCTACCTGTGATCAGCTGGGCTCTGTCTCTCTGGGTTACTTTGATAAAAACTAATTCCAAGATTGATAACAGCTTACAAAAATAATTAGTTCACTGAAAGCCCCGGTTATATCACTGAGGCAGGAGACTAACTGGTCTATATATTTGTAAGTCTCAAACTTGGCTGGGCATCTTTGCCTGTGTCAGAAGTTGGAGGAGGGGATAGGCAGCTGGTGTCTCTAAGGGAATTATAATTCTTTTAATTTTCTTCGCAACTGTAACTATATCTCCTTTCTTATTTTAAATTTTGTACATGTAGGATTTCTTATTTTTATTTGGTTATTTTATTGTTTTTCATCAGAGTCAACTCTTCTTTAAGCTCTTGGATTGAGATATTAACTTTTATTCATGCATATAATACAAAAAGTTGTTCTCATTACAAAATTTCAACAAGTACAGATAGAACTACAGTCCTTCTTGATCACTATTCCCAATCCCAGGCTCTTCTCAGAGTTTGGTGTATGTCATTCCAAACCTGTTTATGGAGTTTCATTTTCCCTTTTCTCAGTCAGTTACTGTCCTTCTTAGAAAAAAGAAGGAACTGGTTATGTCTAAGTTACTACAGTAGAATTTTAAGAGTCAAAGACCTTATTTAAATTACTCATTTCAGCTCCAATCCTAGTCCACTCTGACGCAACATGGTTTTTATTTCTTCAAATTTTTATTTAAATTCTAGTTAGTTAGCATATAGGGTAACATTGGTTTCAGGAGTAGAATTCAGGGGCACCTGGGTGGCTCAGTCAGTTGAGCGTCTGACTCTTGGTTTCAACTCAGGTCATGATCTGAGGATGAGATCAAGCCCTGCAACGGGCTCTGTGCTCACCACAGAATCTGGTTGTCTCTCTCCCTCTTCCCCTCCCCCTGCTTGCTCTCTCTCTCTCTCTCGAATAAATAAATAAAATCTTTTTAAAAAGGAGAATTCAGGGCGCCTGGGTGGCTCAGTTGGTTAAGCGACTGCCTTCGGCTCAGGTCATGATCCTGGAGTCCCGGGATCGAGTCCCACATCGGGCTCCCTGCTCAGCAGGGAGTCTGCTTCTCCCTCTGACCCTCTTCCCTCTGGTGCTATCTCTCATTCTGTCTCTCTCAAATAAATAAATAAATAAATAAATAAATAAATAAATAAAATCTTTAAAAAGGAGAATTCAGTGATTCATCACTTACATACAACACCCAGTGCTTATTACAAGTGCCCTCCTTAATACCTGTCACTCATCTAGCCCATCTCCCACCCACCTCCCTCCATCAACCCTCGGTTGTTCTCTATAGTTTCTTATGGTTTGTTTGCCTCCCTTTTTTTTTCCCCTCCCATATGTTCATCTGTTTTGTTTCTTAAATTCCACATATGAGTGAAATCATATGGTATTTGTCTTTCTCTGACTGACTTATTTCACTTACCATAATGCACCCTAGCTCCATCCACGTCATTGTGAGTGGCAAGAGTTCATTCTTCTTGATAGCTGAGTAATATTCCATTGTGTATGTATACCACATCTTCTTTATCCATTCATCAGTCAGTGGACATGTGGGTCTGTCCATAGTTTGGCTATTGTTGATAGTACTGCCATGAACATCAGGGTACGTGTAGCCCTTTGAATCTGTATTTTTGTATCCTTTGACCTAACCTAGTTTTATGCCATCAAAAATATCCTTTAAATGTTATGAAATTAGGCTCCCAATCCACAAACTTATGTTCACTATGGAATCAAATAGGATTTCATTTCTTATTTTTATAACTTGTTTAATTGAAACTTCTAATTGTTTTCCTGTTCTTACTATAATGTTTCCCCTTTAGTTATTGTCTTTTTTTTTTTTCAAGAATTTTATCATACAATGTATTCTTTTTACTTAGAGACTGACCTCCTGGACCCATGCATCCTCATCCAGTCTGGGCTGGTTCTTTCTAGAATCAACTGAGTATCAGTTATTAACTTGGGACTTTTCTTCATCCTTCTTCAGCATAGGTGCCTCTTTCCTGAATCCCATGTCATCCTATTTTTTAAATATACAATATACTCCTTTGTTTTGAAAACACACTTTTTCATCACTTCCTGAGATTGGCTGCTTTAGAAGTAGATTTTCTAAATCTTTGTATGATAGAAAATGTATTCTCATTTCCCATTTGATTATCTGGCTGCACATAGAGTGCAATGTGCATTAATTCCGAAATGCATTTGACCATAAAAACCTTTTCCATGGGCATCCCATTATCTTATAGGTCTCTATGGAAATATTCTTGGGGGAAAGTTTTCCCTTTGAGGGAAAGCTGGGTTCGGTTAAGATTTTGCTCGCAAATGTCATGCAAGATGATGAGATTGTTAAGGTACCTGATGGGTTGCTTGGTAAATGTATATTTTTTTAACTTATGTTTATGTATCTACTTTACCACTATGAAATTCCTTCACTTGAATAATCCTGTTCATAGTTTATATTATGTGTATCCTAAACCCAAGTCCTACTCCCTTGTGCTTACTTATCCTGCAGATTGATGACAGTGGAAGCTAGTCATTGTGTTATATGATTTGAATACTTTATATGATAGGATAGATACTATTAGCCTCATTTATAAATTAGAAAACTGGAGCTCAGAGAGGTCAGTTGACTTGCTCAAAGTCACACAGCTGGTAAATGGTAGAGCTAGAATTTAAACCCAGGCAATCTGACTCTGAGAACCTGTGCCATTATGTTATATAGCAATAATAGCTAGCCTACATAAAGTTTCATGAATCAAGTCATTATCATCATCAAAGAGTTCTGTGTGGGGGAGTCTGGGCGGCTCAGTCAGTTAAACATCCGACTCTTGGTTTCAGCTCAGGTCATGATCTCAGGGTGGTAAGATCAAGCCCCATGTTGGGCCCTGCACTCAGCACCAAGTCTCCTTGAGATTCTCGCCCCTTCCTTCTCCCTCCCCCTGTGCTCCTCCCCCAGCTCACATGTGCACTTTCTCTCTCTCTCTAAAATAAAAAAAATAAAATAAACCTTTTTTAAAAAAGATTTCTGTGTGACTATTAAGACTCCACTATTGGGGGCACCTGGGTGGCTCAGTCAGTTAAACATCTGCCTTCGGCTCAGGTCATGGTCTCAGGGTCCTGGGATCGAGCTCCACATCAGGCTCCCTGCTCCGCGGGAAGCCTGCTTCTCCCTCTCTCTCTGCCCCTCCCCCCCAGCTCATGCTTGCGCTCGCTCTCTCTCTCTCTCATTCTCTCAAATAAATAAAATCTATTTTAAAAAAAGACTCTCTACTAATGTGTATGTTAATTACATTTCTCCATTTTTATCCCAATATCTATCCTTTTTTTTTTTAAAGATTTTATTTATTTATTTGAGAGAGAAAATGAGAGCATGAGAAGGGGGACGGTCAGAGGGAGAAGCAGACTCCCTGCTGAGCAGGGAGCCCGACGCGGGACTCGATCCAGGGACTCCAGGATCATGACCTGAGCCGAAGGCAGTCGCTTAACCAACTGAGCCACCCAGGCGCCCCTCTATCCATTTTTTTTAAAGATTTTATTTATTTATTTGACAGAGAGAGAAAGAGAGCACGAGTAGGCAGAGTGGCAGGCAGATGGAGAGGGAGAAACAGGCTCTCCGCTGAGCAGGGAGCTGGACGTGGGGCTCGATCCCAAGACCCCAGGATCATGACCTGAGCCAAAAGGCAGCCGCTTAACGGACTGAGCCACCCAGGCGCCCCAATATCTATCCATTTTTAATCAAAGGCCTTTCTTGTGATGACAGACAGTATACTACAATAGCAGCAATGCAAAAACCACTTTCACTACCATTGTTGGACTGTTTATGTGCCAGGGATTTAACCTGATGACCTGTAATAAAATGATACTGACTAGTATTTTTTCATTATCTGGGAATAGAGGAGAACCACTAATACAGAACTTGCTTGGGACCTGGGTTGTAAGTAACCAGAGTCTTATTCTTCCTCATCTCCAGGTCTGTGGGTTCTGGGGTGCCACAACTCAGACTTTCGGAACAAAGGCATGACAGCCTTACTGAAGGTTTCTAGTTGTAACAGGAACATTGGTGATTATTATGAGGACACATATGAAGATATTCCAGTTTCCCTGCTGAATGAAAACAATGTCATTGCACCCAGAAGCTTCTCCCAGAATTCAAGGCACCCTAGCACCAAGCAAAAACAATTCAAAGCCACCACAACTCCAGAAAATGACATAGAGAAGATTGACCCTCAGTCTGCAGAAAGAACACCGCTGCTTAAAGCACAAAGTGTCTCCTCTAGTGATTTGTTGATGCTGCTGGGACAGAATCCTACTCCACATGGATTATTCTTATCTGATCTCCAAGAAGCCACACATGAAGCTGATGGTCATTTACTTGGAGCAGTAGAAGGAAACAAGGGCCCATCTGAAGTGGCAAGTCTCAGACCAGAGCTCCATCACAGTGGGGACAGAGTATTTACTCCTAAGCCAGAAGTGCAATTAAGATTAAATGACAATTCGGGGACAACTATAACAGTAGAGTTGAATAAACTTGATTTAAAGATTTCTAGTTCATCAAACAGTCTAATGACTTCACCAACAATTCCATCAGACAAGTTGGCAGCAGGTCCTGAAAAGACAGATTCCTTAGAACCCCCAAATATGTCAGTTCACTTTAATAGTCATTTAGGTACCATTGTATTTGGTGAAAATTCATCTCACCTTATTCAGTCTGGTGTACCTTTGGGCTTGAGTGAGGGAGATAATGATTCCAAGTTGTTAGAAGCAGCTTTAATGAATAGTCAAGAAAGTTCACTGGGAGAAAATGTATTATCAATGGAGAGTAATAGATTATTTAAAGAAGAAAGAGTTCATGGACCTGCTTCATTAATCAAAGATAATGCTTTATTCAAAGTTAATATCTCTTTGGTAAAGACAAACCAGACATCAGTTAACTCAACAATTAATAGAAAGACTCATGTTGATGTCCCAACATTATTTTTTGAGAACAGTACATCAGTCTGGCAAGATACTATATTAGAAAGTAATACTGAGTTACAAGAAGTGATTTCTTTGATTCATAATGAAACATTTATGGACAGAAATATTACAGCTTTGGGGCTAAATCATGTGTCAAATAAAACCACTTCATCAAAAAATGTGGAAATGGCCCACCAAAGAAAAGAAGACCCTGTGCCACTAGGTACAGAAAATCCAGATCTATCCTTCTTCAAGATACCGTTCTTGCCAGATTCAGCAAATTGGATGAAAAGGACCCATGGCAAGAACTCCCTAAGCTCTGAGCAAAGGCCCAGTCCAAAGCAATTAACATCTTTAGGATCAGAAAAATCTGTGAAAGATCAGAATTTTTTGTCAGAGGAGAGGGTGGTAATAGGAGAGGATGAATTTACAAAGGACATAGGACTCAAAGAGATGATTTTTCCAAAGAGCAAGAGCATATTTTTTACTAATTTGGCTAATGTCCAAGAAAATGATACATACAATCAAGAAAAAAAATCTCAGGAAGAGATAGAAAGAAAGGAAAAATTAACCCAAGAGAATATGGTTTTGCCTCAGGTATATACAGTGATTGGCACTAAGAATTTCCTGAAGAACCTTTTCTTACTAAGCACTAAGCAAAATGTAAAAGGTTTAGATGAGCAGCCATATACTCCAATACTTCAAGACACCAGGTCATTAAATGATTCAGCACATAGAGAAGGAATTCACATGGCCAACTTCTCAAAAATAAGGGAAGAAGCAAACTTGGAAGGCCTGGGAAATCAAACAAAGCAAATGGTAGAGAGATTTCCAAGCACTACAACGATGTCTCCTAATCCAAGTCAGCATCTTATCACTCAACGTGGTAAGCGGGCTTTGAAAGAACCCAGACTCTCACTAGAAGAAATAAAATTTGAAAGGTGGGTAATTTTGAATGACACCTCAACCCAGTGGTCCAAAAACATGAACTATTTGACCCAGGGCACCCTCACAAAGATAGAGTACAATGAGAAAGAAAAAAGAGCCATTACTCAGTCCCTCCTATCAGATTGTTCTATGAGGATTCATGGCCTTATTCAAATGAATGATTCTGCATTACCTATTGCAAAAGTATCAGCATTTCCATCAATTAGACATACAGATCTGACCAAGATCCCATCCCAAGACAACTCCTCTCATCTTCCAGCATCAGCCTGTAATTATACCTTTAGGGAGAGGAGTTCTAGGGTCCAAGAAAGGAGTCATTTCTTACAAGAAGCCAAAAGAAATAACCTTTCTTTAGCCTTCCTAACCTTAGAAATGATTGGAGGTCAAGGAAAGTTCAGCTCCATGGGGAAAAGTGCCACAAACCAACCCCTGTACAAGAAACTTGAAAACACTGTTCTCTTGAAACCAGGCTTGTCTAAAACATCTGGTAAAGTTGAAGTACTGCCTAAAGTTCATGTTCATCAAGACTCTTTACCTATAAAAACTAGCAATGATTCTCCTGGCCACCTGGATCTCATGGAAAAGATCTTTCTTCAGAAAACACAGGGACCTGTTAAATTGAATAAAACAAATAGACGTGGAAAAGTGCCCTTTCTGAAATGGGCAACAGAAAGCTCTTGGAGGGAGAAGATTCCCTCCAAGCTGCTGGGTCCCCTTGCTTGGGATAACCACTCTGCTACCCAGATACCAAGAGAAGAGTGGAAATCCCAAAAGAAGTCACAGAAAAACACAGCTTTTAAGAGAAAGGACACCATTTTGCCCCTGGGCCCTTGTGAAAATAATCATTCAATAGCAGCAATAAATGAAGGACAAGATAAGCCCCAAAGAGAAGCCACCTGGGCAAAGCAAGGAGGGACTGGAAGGTTGTGCTCTCAAAACCCACCAGTCTCAAAACGCCGTGAAAGGGAAATAACCCTTAGTACTCTTCAGCCAGAGGAAGACAAATTTGAGTATGATGACACCTTCTCAATTGAAATGAAGAGAGAAGATTTTGACATCTATGGTGAAGATGAAAATCAGGGCCTCCGCAGCTTTCAAAAGAGAACACGACACTATTTCATTGCTGCAGTGGAGCGTCTCTGGGATTATGGGTGAGTAAGAAACAGGTATGGGTGCATTGATTATTCCTCTGTCCTGCTAGTGCAACATTTGACTTTACCAGGTGCTGAAATAATAGAAAAGGCACAGCTTATCTGCAGGAATGAGACTCCAAAGATTGCTTATAAAGGAAGAATGAGCTGCAGGAGTAGTCTTAGTCTTGTGAAAAGGTTCTGAGAGAGGCAGGAGGAAGAAGTGAAGTGTGTGGTAAAGAGGTTGAGGATGCAGAGAAAGTTGTTTTCCATGGTACTGGGGATCCAGGGAGCAAAGTGGGAGGATGTGGTTGTTAGGGGAGCAGAGGGAGGTTGGGCAAGGAAGAGAAAGCGCAGAGAAATTTGGAAGACAAGGAGACAGACGCTTGGGTGGCTCAGTCAGTTAAGCATCTGCCTTCAGCTCAGGTCATGATCCCAGGGTCCTGGGATCGAACCCCGCATTAGGCTCCTTCCTCAGCAGGGGAGTCTGCTTCTCTCTCTCCCTCTGCCTGCCCCTCCCCCTGCTTGTGTTCTCTCTCTGTCTGACAAATAAATAAATAAAATCTTTTAAAAAAATAAAATAAACTTAAGGAGAGTCAGTCAGTCAACAAATAATTTTTATTGAGCACCTACTTTATGCCAGACACATTTGTAGACACTGGGGTACAGTAAAGAAGAAGCTTACATTCATTTGGGGAGAGCAAGAGATAATTAGTAAAAAAATAAATAGGGAAATCTTGATGGTGCTATTCAAAAGACAGAATCAAATAATATGATAGAGAGTGACTGGAGGTGTTACTTTAGCTGTGGTGGTCAGAGAAATCCTGTTTATGGAATTGAGACCTAAATGATGATAAGAGGACAGCTGATGGAGCTCTGAGAGATGTTTCCAGGCAGAGGGAATAGAAAATACAAAGGCCCTGTGAATGGAACAAATCTGAGGAACAAAAAAGGACCAGTATGACTGGAGTACAGCAAAAACTGGGGGGAGGGGTTTATGGGAGACAAGGTAGTAAAGATGAGTAGTGGTCACATAATAGAGGTCCTAGAGGAAGGTTAGGTGCCATCTTCATTACTCATTGTCGCTGTCTGACCTTGCTCTCTACCTCAAATGGTCCCTTATTGCTGCATAGCAACTATAGAATATTTCCCTAGTCTACTGACTTTCCCACTGTCCTGGACCCCTATCTTACATTTTCTACTTTTTCCTTAAATCTCCAACCCCTTTTACCCATTCTCCAACAGCCCTTCTGATTCATAGCTAATGCTTGTGCAGTGAACCTCCAGACTTCCAACACATTTATTGACATCTGTAACCATACACTGTCTTTATGCTTATGACAATAAATAGACTATACACCTAAGGCCAACCTCTCCAGTTTCCTAGTCAACCATCTCCAACTTTCCATTACAGTGCATTTTCATCTTATCCAATACTCAGTTCATAATCAAATTCTGGTTGTTTTTTGAAATTAAAGCCAATTGGATTCTTTGATGGATTAGATGTGGTTGTGAGAGAAAAAGATGAGTTAGGAATAACTTCAGCATTTAGAGTAACTAAAAAGAAGGAATGATCATTGACTGCCAAGGAAAAGGCTGGACAAACAGCAGGTTTTGGGAAGGGGCAGAAATTAAGAGACTAATTTTGTACATGGTAAGGTAGGGAGTTTATATGTAAATCTCAAGTTCAAAGAAGATATCTGAGATGGAGATATACAACTGGATTTTATCTGCATAAGAATAGACCATCATGAGAATGAATGTAAACAGAAAAGAGGAGAGAGTTCAAAGAACTAATACCCAGAGTAGTCTAACATTTAAAGGTCAGGGAAATGAAGAACCAGCGAAGTTGATTTTGTTTTTTGTTTTTTGTTTTTTAAAGATTTATTTATTTATTTATTTGAGAGAGAGAATGAGATAGAGAGAGAGAACATGAGGGGGGTAGGGTCAGAGGGAGAAGCGGACTCCCTGCTGAGCAGGGAGCCCGATGCGGGACTCGATCCCGGGACTCCAGGATCATGACCTGAGCCGAAGGCAGTCGCTTAACCAACTGAGCCACCCAGGCGCCCAGAACCAGCGAAGTTGAAAGAGAAAGATTGGCATGAGGTTAGTAGAAAAATGAAGGAAAATTGGTGTCAGAGAGACCAGGTGAGAACACACATCAAGGATGGACTAATCAACTATCAAATACTACTGAGAGTTCAACTAAGATGAGGACTGAGAATTAGTAACGTAAAGACCAACAGTGACCTTGAAAATGTAGTTTTTATGGAATAATAGAGATAAAAGACTTTTTGGACTGGTTTAAAGAAAGAATAAGTGGAAAAGAATCCAGCTACTTCTCTCCATCTCAGTGGCTACCATTCTGGTCTAAATCATCCTCAACTCTCACCCAAATTATTGTAATAGCCTCTTTTTTTTTTTTTTAAAGATTTTATTTATTTATTCATGAGAGACAGAGAGAGAGAGAGAGAGAGAGGCAGAGGGAGAAGCAGGCTCCCAAGGAGCAGGGAGCCCGATGCGGGACTCGATCCCAGGACGCTGGGATCATGACCTGAGCCGAAGGCAGACGCTTAACCAACTGAGCCACCCAGGCGCCCTGTAATAGCCTCTTAACTAGACTTGCAGCTTCCAGCGTGGCCCTTTTCCAAACACAGCAGCAATTTTCAATTTGTATTACAATACAATTTGTATTACAATTTGTATTACAATTTTCAAATTGTAATTCTGATTATTGTTCTCTGCTCCAAACCTCCCAGTGGATTTCCTTCTCACCCTTAGTAAATTCCAAAGCCCTCATCATGGCCTTCAGGTTTCTGAGATTTGACCCTCTTAAACCTCTCTGATCTCTTCTACCATTGTTTCCTGCTCACTCTGTTCCAGCCACACTGGCTTCATTGTTCTTCCTCAAATGCAACAAATGTATACCTTTCTATAGGCCTTTGCACTTTGTGTCTCGTCCTCTGATATCCTGCTATTTATTCTTTCACTTCTTCCAGGTTGCTGCTTAAGTTTCATTTTATCAGGCCTTCCCTGTACACTGTATATACGTATAGCTCCTGCCACACTTTTTCAGTGAACTTACTAGCACCTGAAATGGTATACACTTGTCTATTGTCTATGTTCCCCAACTAGAAAGTAAGTTCATTGAGAACACAAATTTTGAAGGTGTTGTTCAATGGTATATCCCCAGAACCTTAAACAGTGCCTGGCATGTGATAGATACTCAAATATCTGTTGAATGAATTAGTAAATGATGGATGTAGGGAGGCAAGAGCAGGTCTTTTTATGTATGTCTGAACTCCAGGGAGTACCAAGTAAACGGTAACACAAGTTCCATGGGCAAGAATAGAGAGGCAGGGAGACCAGTTAAGAGGCAATTGTAATCATCCAGGTAAGAGAAGACAGATTATTTAGACCAAAACAGTGGTGGTAAAAATCAAAAGAAAGATGTTGAGCATAATTTGGGGATAAGCAGACAGGATTTGCTGTTAGATTCAGTATGGGGGGAATAGGGAGAAAGGACTCAAAGAAGATTTTTAGTTTTTTTCCTAAGCAACTAGGTGGATGATGGTGACATTTAATGAGATGTGGAAGGCTTGAGGTAGAACAGATTTATTTGAGGAAACACTCAAGGGTCTGTTTTGAACATACTTAGTTTGAGATGCCCACTAGACCTCCAATTGAGATGTTGAGTAGGCAGTTGGATATATATATGAGTCTGGAGTCCAAGGAAGAGGTCCATGCTAAAGATGAATAAATTTGGGATTTATAAGCATATTGACAGCATTCAGATAAGACCTGTTGGTGTTATCAAGAGAGTAAAAGTAGATGTAAACAATGCCCACTTTAAGCTGGGTCCCCAAAGGTCTATATCCTCAAGGTAACAGTAAACCAGTTAACTCACTTCATTGACACGCAAATTTCTACTCTTAATCATAATTTATGCAAGTCTGGGTTGGCAGTGCCTGCGGACCTCTGGCAGAAGAAAACATAAAACCTCTCAACATCCTAGGCCTCAACTTATTTTCACAAATATTTCAGATACAATGTCCAGAACACAAAGATAAAGGGTACAAAACAAAATGAAAAAAATAAATAAGAAGCCACAGAAACAATAGAGAGCCAAAACAAACTCAGAGACTTAAGATCTAGGAATCATATACAGTTATTAAAACACTTACGCATCATGTAGAAAGAATTGGTGAACTAGTAGGTAAGTAAAATGAAATAGTATGGAATGCAGCATGCAGAGATTTTTTTAATGGAAAATACAAAAGAGATAATAAAAGACTATGGCCAACTGTATTTTTCAAAAATGGATGTGCCAATATGTTCTGTCCTATATGCTCTTGTACAATATGACCTTGCCATTCTCCCATTCAAGAGGTAAGATGTAGTCCCCCTCCTCTTGATCTGGCCTGGCATTAGGACTCATTTGTGACCAATATAATATAACAGAAATATGTGACCTATAGATGTGGTGGAAGTGATGCTGGTTCAGAAAATACTGTGTAGCTTACATCTAGTTCTCCTGAGATGCCCTCTCTGGAAGAAGCCCAGCCGCTATGTAAGAAATCTGATTACCCTGGTGCTGTCATGCTGGTGATGTCACATGTAGGCCTTCTGGTCAAGAGTCCCAGAGAGTCTAGCTTTCCATTCTCCACCAAGGCATCAGGCACGTGAGTGAAGCCATTTTGGACCCTCCAGTTAAGCCCAGATGCCAGCTGAATACCACTGAGTCACTACATTTGACACCAAGAGGAGCAAAACTATCACCCAGCCAAGGACTGCTAGAATTCGGACTTAACAGAATTGACAAGTATAATACAAAGGTTGCTGTTTTAAGCCACTAAAGTTTTGAAGTAGTTTGTGATACAGCAACAGATAACCAGAGGAGACTTAAAGGATAGAGTGTGAAGGATTTACTTATTTTTTTTATTTACTTATTTTTAATTGAAATCTCAGAAGGAAAGGAAAGAGTGATTAAAGGAGAAGCTATATTTGAAGAGGTAAGGACTGAAT